ATTTAATTTATATGCAGAATACATCATGCGAAAGGCTGGACTGGAGAATCCCAAACCGGAATTAAGACTGCCGGAAGAAATATCAACAACCTCCGATATGCAGATGATACCACTCTGATGGCAGAAAGTGAGGAGGAATTAAGGAACTCCGGGAGGCAGTGGAAGACAGGAGGCCCTGGCGTGCTCTGGTCCATGGGGTCACGAAGAGTCGGACACGACTGAACGACTAAATGACGATGATGAACATGTTTACATTTTATAAAAAGTGCATATTAAATTCAGATATACCATCCTTTCACATAATTCCTGTATCTTCCTTTTGAATGTGCACTATACAGTAAATTATCTGGAGAGAAAGAAATCAAAAACATTAAGGGTTATTTGGAGGATGTTTTTATTAGAGACAAAGAATGGCAACAAATCATTAAGCATTATTCTCTTTCAACAGCCTTTTCCTCCCACTGTCTATGTTTTACTACATCAGAGGTATGAATGGTCTAGTCCTTACTTAGCGAATGTGGATGCTCACCCTCCCAAGTTAGTGGTATATTCTCTTCTGCTACTTCTTTATGCAGACAGTGCCGTTATATCTCACACACCTGTCCTGGTCTGAAACATTTGATTAACAGATGTGTGGAGTATTTGGACAAAAAAAAAAATGCAATTGAATTACAAGTCTAAAAGTTTCTGCTAAGTCTTGGAAACAATTACAGTGGAAACTAAATGGTAACAATACTGAATAGGTCAAACAGCACAAATATTTAGGAATTCTTTTTTGTTATAAACATTCCTGGGTTCCTCACTGCAAATCGAATTTAAATACAGCCAGGCTTTCTGTGCAATACATACTACAATTTTATTACAACACTGGCAACTGATATGTCCCAGCAGCCCTACAAGTTTTTAAATATAAAATTACCCGACAAATTCTGTATGGCATCCCAATTTGGCAAAATGCCATGGATCGCTTAATCGAACAGCTACAATCCCACTTCTTACGTAAGGTATTAGGCCTACCCAGGTGTGTTCCCTATTCAATGCTCTGTCTTGAGACTGGACTATCCACACTGGAAATGATAGCATGGCTGAGAAATGTTTTATAACTCAGACCAAGGCAGCTTATTATATCAGCTTCTGCAAGATTCCGATCCTCCTTTTGGGTCTACTGCCCTTTTTAAAAAAATGAAACTGATTGTCCTAGACATTGGCTCTTTAGGTTCACTAAGTCTAGAGCTAGCATTTCAAACAGTCCAGAGATTAATTATGGACATTTTTTCAGGAATTATTGAGCACAGCTGGTAAGACTTGTTCCCCGTTGTCTCTCCACATCCCCTTTAAAATGGGACAAACAGCTGCTTTCCTCATGCTGCCCAACTGCAGGGCCTTTTCTCTGGAGAGATACAATGTCATGCCTGGTGCTGTATCATATGATAGGTATAACAGAACCCCTCATATCTCAAAAGATAGTCGATATGAGTAGGGTGCATTGGAAAAGGAACAGAGGTCCACTAGAAGAACCATGGTTACAGGTAGGTAACCTAACTTTAGTGGCCTCTGTGAATGCACACTAATAGGTGATTAGCAAGCAGACGGAGGGCCATCACGGAAGCAGAGATGACAGGATAGCCCTTCCAAATGCGGCATCATTCTTGGCTCTGACGTAGTGTTTCGCAAATGTCAGAGGATTGGACCAAGTAGCCGCTTTACAGATATTCTGAATCTGGATGCCTTGGTGTAGAGCGGTCAATGTGGAGACAGCTCGGGTAGAGTGTGCCTTGAGATGATCTGGTATGCCATCTTGATATCGTTTGTGGGGAGGCAGGAGCACCCCTGTTGGTACCATGATAACATAGGAATAGACTAGAAGAGCGTCTTGTTACATGGAAGACCTTTGTTGAGGCATATGAAAATTTTTGGTTGTTAATTTACCAAAAACATTTAGAAAGAAGGGTAGCCCTAAAGCAAGAAAATTGATTTTCTTAGGCTATCAAACAGGACGTAAAAGTTACCGGTTTTGTGATCAATTTGGAAATTTAATAATTAGCAGATCAGCTAATTTCTGTGAGAATGAAAATTGGTCACAAATACAATGAAAAACAATGAAAAACTTTTGCCATTGTCTAGGAATAGACAGGAAATTTTTGAGGAAGAAAAAGAAAATGAAGGTGTAGGAGGGTGTGATCGGGTTCAACTTCAAATTTTGACAACTCATTTTGCATGGGAAATTTTGCAGGAGACGTCTTCTTGATGTTAACATTGTTGTCTTTATTATTTACATGATGGTCAACATTGTTCATAACCAGATCGAAAACACTTAATTCATGCAAGAAGCCATAACTGTCCATCACAAGTTCCCACCTGTTAAACTCATAGGGGTGCTGGGCCAAACTTCTCTGCATCAGTGGGTTTCTAGAGGGGCGCGAACCCCACTGCACAGATGGTGCCACAGCATGTGTGTCGTGCCCAGTCCCCCTCTGGAGGTGAGGTGTTATCTGCTGTGAGTCAGATCATTTATTTCTGTGCTACATATTGTATCTTGTTATGCTACCAGTTCAATGTCTGAAGTCTATGCTCTGTGTATATTTGTAAATAGACTACGTTGAATTTTACTCTCTGTGTTATAATGTCTTTGCAACTTGGTATCTCCTAACTCTGCTTACATCCAGAAAAGTTAACAAATTCTCAACAAAATTATCATGGCCAGATGTTGAGACTAGGTTCTCTTATTTAAAGTAAGTTCTACAACTTGGTGGAATCCATTTAAGAAAGTGGGATTCAGGTTTCACCTCAACCGACTTCATTGTTTTGCCTGAATGCCATGCATTTTTATCTGGCTAGAAAATCTGAATTTCATTTTGTGTTCTTCCAGGAAGTATGGGGAGGCAGGGAGACATCTGACATAAATAACATTTTCCAAATGACTGTATTTATATATATATAGTTGTAGTATTAGAAGAAGCCGTATAAGTCTGTGCAACAATATCAGGCAAAAACCAAGGGGGGAAAAAGACAAAAACCTTGTTGGATCTTAAAGATTGCTATATTTTAATGTGAGCTTTCAAGGACAAGTCCACTTCTTCAGACATATGAGGTAAAATACAATTACTGTACATGGTAAACTATTCATGCCTGGCTTTAAGATATAGTGGTGTATGGTTGCATTTCACATGTGCATTTCCGTAGAGCTTGCAAGCTGTCAATTTGCTGGCTGGTTACAATATCCCAAAATACAATATATTTTTGATGGTTTAAAGATAGCTTAACCACTTAATGATATGGAGTAACAAGAAAATTAAGAACTTCCTGCCTCTGCTCTGTAAGTTTTAAATTTTTTAGCAATTTATGGTAGCACTAATATGTCATACCTTGCAAATTGGCTTCTTGGGCTACAAAGGAAAAAAAATTCTGTCTCCTCCTGGTTCCAGGAGGAACCCTTCAATTTTTTAAAACAAATTCTGTAAGATACAACACATCTGCACCAGCCCACTCCAAATGAGCCATGTATCCAAGCCCTCAGTCTGAGAAGTAAGTCCCATTATGTTCACTGTAACTGTACTGCATATACTGTTGATACTAATTTCTAAGCAGACATTTATACTTTGCTACTGATTGTACTATTATGCAAGAAAATGACACTGCTTTGAACTCTCTCATTTCACCAATGCCGTGAAAAGAAGCTTGCTTAATGATGCTTGGTAAGTACAGTACAGTAGTTTAGTTGCTGGAAACCAAAGAGAGGGTATTAGTTTTTTAGAAAGCTGCTAAAGCTGTCAGTCAAGCAGTGTTACAATTCTGCTCTACATACTAGATTTAAGAGTATGTCCCAGGTGATTTATGGCTAGGTAAATATATCCTTTGGAATGTAGTCCTTATTTGTTTAGTTCTCTGATGATTAAGGTGTGAGGAAAATGCTTAAAAAATAAGGACCTGGTAGGAATATACTGTACACTCTCTCCGAACCTGATCAAATTAGAGGTGTGCCTATGTGTTTGTGAAATACAACAAGAATTAACCAGGAACAGCACTCAGCAGAAAAGTTTTCTCTCATCTAGCACTGTAAAGGCTGTTTTTCCATACCAGGTGTTTGTAAAGATTATTGTGCCTTGTTGCTTCCAATGTGCTTTTGGTATTACCATTTTAGTGTGACATTTGTTTGATTCCTTTTTAAATATTTGTGTACTTACTGTTTTTAGCTTTTAAATATTGTGTTTAATCGATGTAACATGCCTTGAGTCTTTTTGAGACAAGCAGGATAAAAATATATTTTTTTAAAAATTAAATACTGTATGAAATTGTCCCAAATGGTCCTCTGCTACACTTTACGATTACATTGCGTATGTGCCTTCGTGGGGAAGCAACACAGTCACGCAGAGGAAGTTACGGTATTTCAAAGTTTGTCTTGTGTGTTGCCTGAAGAATTCTGAAAGTTACCATCCAAAAATACACCTATAGAAACATTTAACAGCCTGAAGCTCGTCAAGCACCACCGACTAGCGAAAACCCCTTCAAAGATGCCCTTTTATTTTCTCCTTTAATACCGAACAGCCTTATAGTTCCTTAAATACCAGCTTTGGCGGACGGCAGCCCTCTTCCTCACATTACCGCGAAATCTCATTAAATTGGTTCTTCAAGTTGCTGCTTTTTACTCTCCTGTGCTCAGTTCCTTACACATAAAAGATATTGCAATTACTCCGCCCATTCTATTCGACTTGCACACTCCTAAGCGGCACGACAGATCAAGAATATAAAGACCCAGCAGGTTGCCACCGTCCCAGAGAAATTGCTTTAAAAAAACAAACTTAACCCGCCAGCTCTTTCCCTCCCTGTTCCGCGCGGCGGACTGTCCAAAACAAATACAGGAAGCGCTTTCAGCGTCAGTTAATATTTAAATATGTGTCTGAATTCCCATTTGATCGTTCTCTGGTTAGCGTCATCGTGCTATGACCAATTAGAACGCTCCGCGCTTCTTTTTTAAAAAACAAGTTTCACAGAATCGGTCGTCGATTTATCCTTGCGCGCGAACAGCACGAAAGAGTTCCTCGTGAGGCGCTCCAGTAATGTTAGAATTCCGCGGCTCGTGAGACCCAGTTTTGGTCACTAGCTAAAAAAATGGGTGGGGGTAAAATTAACAGAGTAGAGAAGATTAGTTGCTATTTTTAATTTCTCTTCAGGAAGGAGCTGAGGATATCAGGTCTGTGGCGCACAGTTTTGCGTGGCGGCGGAGGGATACAGCTGGGGAGTGCCACAATTCGGCAGAACAGCTACAGAGCGCGGGATTTGAAGTGAGGTGAGTGGTTGCCCGAGAGCGCGCGCACCGGAGGTGTCCATTTGAAGACGGCTCGCGGAGGGGAAGGGGGAGAGGAGAGGTCGTGTCTGGAGACCCAGAGGAAGGGGGGGTCTGTGAGGAGGGCGCCTGCGCACACAGGTAACGGACGTTTCATTGGCGTCGAGAGTTCTGCCGGTGGAGAGGCTCTTCGGGGAGCCGGGGTACCGGGAAGAAGAACCACGGGCTGGTCCACCCCGTAGGCTCCTTCTGTGCGTGGGTTAAGTAAACGGAGAGTTGGGAGGGAGCGAGGCTGCGGTGGGGGGCAGGAGAAAGCCGGCGAGTGCATGTTTACGAAGGTAGTGGGGGGGGCGATAATGTACGGTGTGAGGACTTGGCTTTGAACGAGACTGTGAGGTGGCTGGACTTTCGGGCCGTTGAGGCATGTGCTTTGACAAACGGGGAGCTGGCAGCCTGAAGGATTGTGGAGGCAAACGCCCTCTAGGGAAAATATAGGGGCAGGAGGTTGATAAAAGTGAGAAGAGCCTCAAGGAAACTGTGATCTTTTAAAAATTATGTAAGGCTAGGTAAATGGGTACGGGGGAGGGGAAGGTAAATAATGGCAAGAAACTTGGATTTGCCGCTGATGGAAAATTTCCTGAGAGGCGGGGATTATCCGATCCGAGCAAGTCCACTCTTTAGGGGGAAAGTGGCATCGCGGTGCGACTGTTTTATACTCAAAACACAGTTACAAGATGTATGTATATTGGTTGGCTTTCTCATTTTTTGCTGAGATACTTGGTTTCCAATAGACTTGTAGTATTATTTTTTTCCTGGTGGGGTATTGTATTTACAGGTCCAGTCCTAAAGGACTGTGGATATCATGTTTATTTTGTTAGATTGTTTCTAACTATCCTCTGGGAACAGTTGCCCAAATAAGTTGGAAAGCATCAGCCATATGATTTTCTAAATCCACATCTGAGACATAGCTCTGCTTCACTTATTTTTGAGAAGGCTTTAAATTAAGTGTGTCTGTATACTTTTACAGAGATCATACTTCTTTTAATGGAAACCATGCCAAATAGTTCTTATGTGCTTTAGGATTCTTGTGTGCATGCCTCTATGGATGTAGTACAGTCCTATGTGGGCAGTTACTGTAATAATTTGTCATAAACATGGCTTTAGTCACCACACAGATTATCCTGAATGAAAGGTACAGTGTTTCAAGTGATACTGTATCAAAGTGTCATATCTTTAGTTAAGCTAAACAGCTGGCGTAAATATGCAGTGTTATGTTTTCAAACACATTCAAGTGATATAGCTGAAAATGCAACTACTTTAGAAAGCACCAACAAATAAAAAGACCCAGAATTACTTACAAAATACAGTATATGAAAGCCTTGATAAACAGTATTACAGAAGCAAGATGTTGAAGTTAATTAGTCTTTAATTGACATCTGTGGATCTTGGTCTGATTTGAGAGCTATGTGGATTTAAATATTTGGAGCTGATAACCAAATAGAATGATGTCTTCTAAATTATTGGAATTAGTTAATGTGGCTTGAATAATTTCAAAGTTTTGTGGCTGTATAATTGAAATAAAACAAAATATACATTTGGAAATTGCATTATGATTTAGGTATTTGACTGCAGAGCCAGAGGTTGGGAGTTTCCCTCACTGCCTCCTTCAGGGTTGTTTTAAGATCATTAAGGTGATTATTTTAAAAAAATAATTGTTTATTAAAATCCATCTTTGTATCATCTGATTAGGATGATGCTAGTAATAAGTGTTCATTGAAATTTTGTGATCCTAATATTGTTCAGTCCGCACAGGTAAGATATGCAACCGGGAAAATGCCACTTTATGGGAAAATCGTTGTCATTAAAAGGGATGGAACTGATGGAACTCATTTTCCACTGACTGCAAACTCTTGTTTGTTTGGAAGGTGAGAGTAACCTATATTATTAAATACATTTGATGATTGCATGTGAGGAAATACAGTATATTGTGGATGTATTTAGGATTTAATAAGCTGTTCTGTATTTTAAAAAAAATTAGTAGCACAATTTCAGATGGTGGTACCAGTTACAGGTTTGCACATTGATTGAAACTGGAGTTGTGAAGAGCTGGCACAAAAGGAGACTCTTAGCTTTTGGAAAATTATTAAATTTTAGGAAGTTGCTAATTAACAGTAGTCAGAATTGTTCTGGTGATCTACATCAGTAGTTCTTAACCTTTGTTACTCGGATGTTTTTGAACTGCAACTCCCAGAAACCCCAGCCAGCACAGTTGGTGGTGAAGGCTTCTGGGAGTTGCAGTCCAAAACTCCTGAGTAACCCAAGGTTAAGAACCAGTGATCTACATTAACTGCATAATTCACTGCACATAAATTGTCGTAACTGGCAAAATGCCAATTGCATCACTGGGCATGTGGTTGCTGTGAAACTGGATATATGCCTTGTTAGCTGAAATGAGTTACACAATTTAGCTTACACAAGTGTAAATCTCTGACAGGATTCTGGCTGTGGTATTTTAAATGACTGAGATATACAATACCTAGTTCAGATTGGAACTATGAAGGTGTTACTTATCTAGAACAACTTATCTAATTGGTAAGTTGAACCCTTACAGTTTATTATTTGGCTGAAATTCTATTGGCATAATTTTACGTTGCACAATTAGGATGATATCAGCAGGCTGTGACAATAATATTTAATTTAATTGAAAGCTTCTTATCCCCTGCTTCAGTATTTGAGGTTCCATATCACTCTTTTTTGCCCTAGGAAAGCCTTTGGGACGCTAAGCATAGGGAGGAGCTATTAATAGCCAAAAATGCTGCTCCTGATATTGGAACCACACTGCTCATCAAATCTGACTATTAAATCATTCCCTGTGGCCTTGTGGAAGCTGTACAGTCCCAGGATATCCTCAGAAGAAGGGAATGATAAACTGTTTGAGTGTTCTCTACCTAGTAAACCCTGAAAAGGAGTGTCCATGTTAGAATTGGCTTGATGGCACATGAAAAAAAATATCAAGGCTTTCCTAGGGCCAAAAGAGCTTTGACATCTGAAAGGGAGGATAGTAAGCTCTTATTTATGTTTAATATTCCTGTCACAAGCTGATGGCATTTTCCTAGTCATCTGGCATAAAGTTACACCAATAGCAAATATTTGCTATTAGTCTTTATGTGGACAAAATATTAAGAGAAATGGGTTGAAAGGGTTAGTTTTAGGTTTAATTCCTAGAGAGTTCTGTTATTTCAGTCTGGGGAATTTTGGGGTATATAATTTGCAATAAAGTACTGGATTTGACCAGTATATTCTGCTACTGAATGTTGTTGCATCACACAAGCAAGTGGTATGGCAACCTCTAGGATTGTAATTTTAGATCTTTGGAGATTATAGTGGCAACAGTGTTCATTAAGGTTTGTGGATTTTCAATATGAATAGGTACCAAGTGAGAGATTTGTAGGTGAAGATAGTTGCAGTTTCTCATTTTCAGGCTCACCCCAGTATGTTTTTAAAATACTGTATGCAGTAGGACTCCTTGTTATGTTCTGTTTAAAAGTCTTAATGGACCAAAAAGGAATATGTGGTAGCTGCTTGTGTATAGAACAGGGGTCAGGGAACTTTTTTGCCCCCACCCCCCCAAAAAAAATTATATACGCGGGCACTACTACCTTGATAATAGAACAGGGGTCAGGGAACTTTTTTACCCCCACCCCCCCAAAAAAATTATATACGCCGGCACTACTACCTTGATATGAAAGGAAGGAAATCATACATTATTTGAATTCAAAATATTGAATCTACACAGGCTGTGTGTCAAACTAGCAGGATATAGCATCAATATCAATGGCTGCCAGGCTATGTACCGAACTAGCAGAATGCACCAAATTTAATAAAGATGTGCACTATTTTTGCTGGAACACATTGCACTCCAGCCATGGAATGGTATAGGAAGTAGTAAGGTGTTCAACATTCCTAGCAAGTTGCATTAAATTTTTGCTTCCTCAGAGAGGATTTAATTATCATCAATTGTTGCCAGAGTGGTGCTAGCAATGACATGCTTGCTAGAGACAGCCAATGCAGAGTTGTGGGGCTTTTCCTACCACTTTAATCATTCTGTGTGTGGTGTGCACAAAGGAACAAACCAGGCTAAGGGTCATGTCACCCACCCTGGTGCCACAGCCCAGTATCAAAGGACCAGTGTGCTATTTTTTTATCATCAATTGAAAACTCAGCAGTTGCCTAAAGGGTTGTGAAAGATCAGTCTATTTCTCAATCCCAAAGAAGGGCAGTGCCAAAGAATGCTGCAACTACCGTACAATTGCACTCATTTCACACGCTAGCAAGGTTATGCTCAAAATCCTACAAGGTAGGCTTCAGCATTACATGGACCAAGAACTCCCAGAAGTGCAAGCTGGATTTCGAAGGGACAGAATAACTAGAGACCAGAGTTCCAGAAAAAAACATCTACTTCTGCTTCATTGACTACGCAAAAGCATGGCAGAAAGTGAGGAGGAATTAAAGAACCTCTTAATGAGGGTGAAAGAGAAGAGTGCAAAAAAATGGTCTGAAGCTCAACATAAACGTAGTAGATCAAAGAATTTTGGAGGGTTGATTTGATATTTGGGGAAAAGTATGCATAATGAGTCTACCAAATCTATCTAAAAATGCAAAAAAAAAAAAAGCCTCTGCACCATCATCTGGGGCTCCCAGTCCAGTACAGCAAAGGTCTATTGATACAATGCTATTTCAAGAAAAATTTCAGAAAGATCTCCATCCCCCCCCACCCCCGCCTTAAGCCTTCTGTTTTGTTTGCCTGCTCCTTTTTTCATAGTTTTGAGTCAGTCTCATACACACACATCCCCCCTCCCTCCATCCATCCATTCATTTTCCACATACAGTACATTTAAACAAGCTTGATGAAGCCTTCTGTCTCTCGCACCTTCCTTCCCTCATTAACTGGAGCCTTTCCCTCTTCCTGCTTGCTTGCAGGCGAATGCAAGCAAATGAATGCAGGTGAATGATGGTGGAAGCAGTCATTCACAAGCCCTAGATTGATTGACTGCCCAAGGGTACTTCTACAGAAGTAACCAATCAAGCAGGCTTATCTCTGATCTTTGAAAGAATGGATTTACTAGTGCCCTGCTGCAACCAAGGAAGTCACAGGGAGAGGTGGCTTACAGTTTGAGGTTTGCCTGCAGGGGGTGGGATGGGGGTAGCACTCTCCTCATTACCCACAGAATTTTTACTTTTACCCCATTTGGGTAATTTACCCCTGTTCCCTGACCACTGGTATAGAACCTGTATTTGGGAGGCCAAGTCAGCTGGCCAATTGTTGGCAATCATCTACACTCCTGTCAAAACTATATTTTCGGGATGTATTGATGGGGGAAGAATAGTTGGCTCAGCTGAGGGGATTGAGTTCAAGAGTGGTTACATAGAGCAGCCTCAGGCTAGTTATGGGTAGGCTGTGGCATCTGAAATCTGTAATATCAGTGGGCTTGTGGGGAGTGCAAAGTCATTATTGTATTGTCAGTATTTCTGTTGGCACATATGTCATCCTGGAGGGAGTTAGCTGAAGCCAAAAGAAGTTGAAAGGAAAGATTCATGGCATGCTAGCACTAAAACCCAAGTGAATTTTGTCTGGCAAAAGAAGTGCATACTAAATATGTGCTGTTAAGTACAGTATTTTATGTATTCTGTGAATAGCATCATTTAGGCAAATTTTAAGAGTGAGTGAATTGTTGCGTAATTAGAAATATAAAGCTGAAAATTATGTTATATTTAAAGGAAAAGAGAATGTGACATCCGAATCCAACTGCCTCAAGTTTCTAAAGAGCATTGTAAGATTGAAGCTAATGAAAATAAGGAGGTATGTATTGTTGTTGTTGATTATGCTGATTTTTATTTGATATGTGTCTCTTTGAATTACTAAACTGAAAATTTCCTTTTCAGGTTATTTTGTTCAACTTAAGTTCTGTAACCCCAACACAAGTAAATGGAAGTAATGTTACAGACCCGACATATTTAAAGCATGGAGATATACTGACTATTATTGATCGTTCTTTCAGGTGGGTATGAATTATATACACATACAGCTATAGATTTGTAAGAGTTGGTGTTTGATATTGCTATCTCAATTCCAAAAAATAAGGGAGAAAAAATAAAGTGACTTCCCTTTTAAACACAGTGATACCGTCCTCATGGGATAGGTAGTGCAGCTTGTTTTATTTCTGTTGTGTAAATTTTGCAACTTTAAATTTGTGATAATCCTCCAGCAAAACAAATATTTCAGTTTTGCCAACTAACCTGGAATTGTATTCGTGAAGGCTTTCATGGGTGGGATCTAATGGTTGTTGTGGGCTCTTTGGCCGTGTTCTGAAGGTTGTTCTTCCTAAATTTCGCCAATCTCTGTGACCGGCATCTTCAGAGGACAGCATTCTGTGCTCTGGTGTAGTTTGGTAAAGATGCCAGCCACAGAGACTGGCAAAACGTTAGGAAGAACAACCTTCAGAACACGGCCAAAGAGCCCGAAAAACCCACAACAATCATAACCTGGAATTCTTACGGAATAATGGAATTATTGATTGTGGTGCCTCTTCCAGTTTTTCATAAAATAAAGAAGGGAGGGAGATTTAATGCAATGACAAACTGTTGGAACTGAAATAAAGAACTAAGATTTGGGGGCATTTAGTAACATGGTACGTAGTTCCAGAAGGTCACTGATCTAAGTACAGGATAATCTAGTATTAAGACATCTTCCTATCTACACTCTAAACAGGTTTGAATACCCACCTGTGTCACTTCCACAGAAAAGACGTTCCAGGTCTCAAGATAAGGCCACATTACAGGTAATGTCATGGCAATAATAGTCAATGTTTCCATGTTTTGTTTGTTGAGTTACATAAAATGTGAAGAAATTATAGACTGAAAATAAGGAAGGTGCTTATTCTAATCAATGGTCTACAATTTTTGGCTTGATTTAGTAGTCAGCCAAATCATGTACAGTTATATCTGAAGATTCTCAGTCATCCAGGTGAGGTTATCTTGAAAGTTGAGGCACTGGAACCGGACTTCTTTCTTACTAGGTTGAAATGTTTCGCTACTAATCCAAGTAGCTTCTTCAGTTACTTCCTCAGACTGAAGAAGCTACTTAAATGACAGCAGTCACACTCCCACTTGTTTGATGGACTGTTTGGAATGTAGTTGTCTCCATTCACAATGTATACATTCATGTAGACACATGTCTAGCTGATGGTGGGAGCTGTGATGTGTTCAACATGTAAGAGGGGAGACTTAAACCTCCATTCCTGCACGTGGGGATGAGGTGAGATTTGTGCTTCTATGTATACACACTGCTTTGTACCTAAGAACCAGTCCATCGCTTCTTGTGGCATGTAGCCTTAGTGGGCAAAAAAAGTTGCCCATAATGTCTGAGGAAAGAAGAGGAACATAAAATGAAATACCGTGTTTCCTCAAAAATAAGACAGGATCTTATATTAATTTTTGCTCCAAAAACACATTAGGGCTTATGTTCAAAGAATGTTTTATTTTACAGTCATGCCATCTTCTGGTTGCTGCACAATACTGCACAGTGGTGGTGGGTGGGGTTTCAGTTAACTAGGGGTTATTTTGGGGGTAGGCTTATATTGCGAGCATCCTGAAAAATCGTACCAGGGCTTATTTTCAGGTTAGGTCTTATTTTCGGGGAAACTGTATGGAAATATGGTCTGTAAAAGGGTGCCTTCACATTTCACTATATGCAGTCTCCTTAAGTATGATTTTTACCTTAAAATGTAGATTGTTACATACCTTGATTCCACATGTGTACACTTTGGCCTGTGTTTAGAGAATCCTTATGCCACTGCTTATCTCTCAGAAGTAATACATTTGTAAGAGGCTTCACTAACAACCATGGAAGCATACCTTCTCATCCAGTTTTGGTGCTCGTACCTGTTCATATAAACTATTGATCCACAGGATTTTAAACAAATTTACTTAATATTTTTATATTTCTTTTAATTAGTATTATTTAACATCATAATTTGCTTAACTTAAATGTTAATTGTTCTTCTGTTTTTATCTACTTGTATTAATGTTTTTTTCTCAGTATCTTTTTCAGTTTTGTTATGAACCACTTTGTGCCTCAGTCAGATAGATGGTCAAACTGAAATTTAAAAAATAACGATCTAATTTTAATCGTTGTAATCAACGAAGTACCACTAGATTTCAAGATTATTTTTATGATCACTTTAGCTGCCGGAAAACTGCAGTGTTTGAAATTCAGTAGCAAGTTGCAACTACAGTAGATCCATTGAATCAATGGAACTTATGGAGGAGTTGATTCAACAAATCTCCATTGATTCAATAGGTCTGCTCTAGCTGGAACTCACTACTGGATTTCAGCCAATGTGTTCATTGCTATGATGCATTTTGTATGAATTTACAGGTTCTTCATGTTCAGCAAGACTTGTGCTCTCAGGATTCAAAAAACAGAAACCCTCAGATTCCTGGTTAGTACTTCTTTTTTCCTTTTTAGCACCAAGTACGTTTCTATTCCTAACATAACTGGAAATAAGAATATATAACCTCTGTAAACAGTTAAGTAAGGTTCAAGGAAATAATGATTGTCAACTTCAGCTAAAAGGGAGAGCAAATATCTGGAGTTTCTGTAAATTATTGTTTTTTCTTTTGCTTCCATTCATATTGAGTCATGATGATCAGAGTTTACAAGCTAACAAATCTTGGGTTAATATAAAGATAATTCAAACATTTTATAGCATATTTGTATACATGAATTTAGAGATTATTGCATTGAAGAGTGTTTAGCAATTTTTTTTAAAAAAAATAGCCATATATAGTTTGCATCTATTGGGGAAAAACGCTGTATTAGAAATACACTTGAATTGATCTTAAATTTTGATCAGCTTGTTCTCAGCATATTTGGTATAGTTTTTTTTTAAAAAGCTGCTTATGTCAGTAACTGCTTGTTTCTCCTGATAAAAAGACACAACAACTTTTCTTTGAACCTTTGGACGCTGGAAAAGAATTGTGTTGATTTGACAATCATCTTCTAACCAGCTGTTCTAAAGGTGAATGGTGTGCTGTGTGAGTAGAAGAGTGGCACCTAAAAGAGCAGGGGTGGACATGCATCCTCATGGTGTAAATGATGCCTGATCAAAGCTGTAATTAATGGCTATTTGCTCAGAGTAACCAATCACCTGCTTGTAACACTCACCAAACTGATGGGAGAATCTACCAATAGAACATGTATTGTTCAGGACCTTTTTGTTAAACTGGCTTCTGAGCTAGAATCAGCAGTTTCTGATTTGTTTTGTGTTAAGAACACAAACTTCTTGCTCAAATTTAAGAGCTATTAAGAAATATAATAGCTAGTTTTAGATAAGTACCTGGTTTGAAAATGTGTGTATTGTATCTCCTCCCAGACAAGGAACTTGAACAAGGGAATCAAACTCCTGATGGCAGTGAGAAGGGAAGATCTCAAGAACTTGTTACTGGATGGAATGACGCATCTGAATCTGCATATAAAATATGTCAATCAGAAAGAAAAAGTGAGATTTCTTTTTCCAGTGAACATTCTGTATCAGTGAAGTATGAAGATTCTACAAAAAACATTGAAGGAAATAGTGAGATATGCGGTCAAGATAATACTCTGAGAAAAGATGATAATATGTCAGGAGGTGTTTCACAAATTCCTAATAGATTTGTGGCTAATTCGACTAGTACCAACACTGTAATGCAGAAAGATGATTCACATGCTGGAAATACTAAAAATCATGATACAAACAGTGTGGTATCCAGTCCAGTAAATTGTGATGTGAACATCTTTAGAAAGTCATCTACAAGAAGGTCATCTGCAACACGTTCATCTGCAAGTGTTTTGAATTATGCTGCAAAACAGGAAGAAGACAGTGAAGACACAATTCCATTGAAGATTGAACACCCTGAAGAGAATAATCCAGAAAAATCCAAAGAAACCAAAAGTGCTTGTAACGATACCATTAGAGTAAATAGGCAAAGCGCAGAATATGTTCATGAACCATGTTATATTGTGTCACTGGACTATAATGATGGAACAAACTATTCTCAAAAATCAGTATATCAGACACTGGGAGCAGGTACTGTAGAAATCAAACCAAACCTAATAGATTCTTTTGGATCTGTTGAAAGTGCTTTATCTACACCAAAGTCTAATAAAAAGTGTTTTCAAGTGTATTCCAGTCCATTTACTAGAAATGCCAGAAGAAATAGTTTTTCGAAGTATAATGTTCTACCAGTTGAGCTAGATTCACTGAATGAAATGAAGTATGCAGAAGCTTCATTTGAAATTGAGGAATGCTCATTGGATACTAATACAGGAGAATGTGAAATCAATGGCTTAACTGGTCATAAGTGTTCTAAAATGGGGAGGAATAGCAAAATGATGGTCACAGATATAATACAGACTCCAAAAGAACAAAAAAATGAGGTTGATGTGAATTACACCCCAAAAGATGGAAACTCTGGAACTGTTGTCTGCTCCTTGGACAGTAGTAACAGCAAAAGCCCCAGAAGGAGTTTTAAACAGAATAACAACTCTGTAAATAGAAGTACTATGATGAAGAAATCAACAGAAGAATTAGTCCTAATCACTGCTGCTTCTGATGTGGGTAGAATAACTCCTGCCCAACTATCTGATGACAACTTTGGCAGGAACTGCCCTGAAGAACACACAGAGAAGATAAAACAGCCAATCACAGATGCGTATGAACAGAATGTCAATGTGAAAAGTAATATGCCAGTATTTTCAAATCTATATGAAAGCAATGTACAAACACCAGCTGAAGCTGTTTCAGAAATGAATGTGTCAAGTCCATGTATATCAAACAGAAAGCCAGGTAAATACTTTCAACATCTATCCAAAACAAATTGTCAATACTGTATATGATTTCTCCTTGTCTTCCAACTGCAATTGCTCTTTCATTATCCAGATATATTTTCCAGTCTATTACTATTTTTAATGAAAAAGTTGGAAGGGACATGGTGGTGCTGAGGTTAAATGGCAGAAGCCTCTGTACTGCAAGGTCAGAAGACCAAGCAGTCGTAAGATCGAATCCACGTGACGGAGTGAGCTCCCGTCGCTTGCCCCAGTCCTGCCAACCTAGCAGTTCGAAAGCATGTAAATGCGAGTAGATAAATAGGTACCACCACGGTGGGAAGGTAATGGCGTTCCGTGTCTAGTCGCGCTGGCCATGTGACCACTGTCTTTGGACAACCGCTGGCTCTGGCTTGGAAACAGAGGTGAGCACCACGCCCTAGAGTCGGAAACGACTAGACTACTAAATGTCAAGGGGAACCTTGAATTTCAAAGTAGTGCACTGAAAGGTTTCCAATCCGCGTCCTTAATCCCCCCCCCCCCCCGCTTCTTTGAGCTCGGGCGAAACTTCCTTTCAAAAAATTCAGTCAAAAGCTAGTTGGGTTTTCAAAGATTTATATCCATTTAGATAACTAATCTGGAAAAGGATCAACTTCATTAGTTTTTTAAGGATAATATGTTAATTTTGATACATTTTACTATTCTTTTATAGAAATTAAAAAATCACCTCAAAAGCGTAAAAATATTCAACTTGACATAGTGTTTCAACCACCTGGAAAAAGAAAGAGAGTCTCCTTTGGTGGCCAGCTGAGTCCTGAACTATTTGATAAACGTCTCCCTCCAAACTCTCCACTTAAAAAAGGTGCAATTCCAGCAAGACTGAGTTTACCATTTGGAAACTCACCTCGAGCAGTTCTGAAAAAAGCTTCAGGATTGAGACAATCTATAATCAAGGTGAATTGACTCATTTGTTTTAAATACGGAAAGTATGTTTGAATATAATTTTTCATGCTGTTCCTGTCGACTGCTTTTACTTGGTTTAAAAAGCTTTGGAATTATTTTTATTTATAAATTCCATGAGCGTAATGCCACTACAATGTAATAAATTCACAGTATTAGGAAAGTTTGGTGACATGTCATTGGGATAGAATCAGAAGGATAAGATGTTCCAGAAATTCATGATCATATTTTTTGGGAGAGCAGTATAAACTCATTGTTTGCATTACTCAAACAATAATTAAAGATACATTGATTGTTTTGTGGAGATTGTGTAGAAGGCTTATATGCCTGACAATGCCCAAAAGTGACTGAATTATTATTTTAAAAAAATGCGAGTTGAAAATTGAAACCATTGGATATAAATTTTTAACCTGTACTTCGTCTTCCTAATGCTAAAGTATTTTGAAACTAACATTATAAAACCTTGTTTATTGCCACATGCAACAATATTAGTTTATATTCTGTTATATTATCAGTCAACATGAGTATTCCAACTCAGTATGTTATCATATTTTATCCTTTTAATCACTGTATAAATTAGAATGTGCAGACAGGTGGGGTAGAATTTGAATGAATCAGATGCCCAGAGTCTACCTTCCCCTGCTCAATATATTCTAATTGACATGCCATTATTTGACGAGGTTCTAATTTGAAAAGAAAGCAAAAACATTCTTCAGAATGTCAATTAAAACTAAATCAGAATTCTTTGTGAATTAACGTTCCCTTTGTTTGTATCTTGTTTTTTTAACAGAGTTTCACTGAAAGGGAGCAAGGCAATATTTTGATTGAAACAGCTTCCTCGCCCCCGGCTGCCCGCAGGTCCCCGGTCGCCTCACCCCTGGTTCTAATTTGAAAAGAAAGCAAAAACATTCTTCAGAATGTCAATTAAAACTAAATCAGAATTCTTTGTGAATTAACGTTCCCTTTGTTTGTATCTTGTTTTTTTAACAGAGTTTCACTGAAAGGGAGCAAGGCAATATTTTGATTGAAACAGCTTCCTCGCCCCCGGCTGCCCGCAGGTCCCCGGTCGCCTCACCCCTGGCTGCCC